ATGTCTATAGTATTTGTTTTTTTGTTTTAATTTTAAATGTAATCATTCAAAATTTAATTTCAAATTCATGGATTGAATTTGCAACAGGATTCTCTAATTACAACTGAAATAAATCGGTTTGAAAGAGGAATAATTCGAACAGAAAACCAGTAAAGAAAGTCTTAAAGTCGCGCGGGGCCGACTTTATGATACCCTACATTACTTTGCTAATTTAGTAGAGCTCCGCATAACAATTAAAAATTTTTATGGGAGAATTCAATCATGCACGCTGTGATTATAATTATAATTTAAAGTTCAAAGGACTAAACATGCCGAAGCATTTGTATCTTAATTAATTTGAATTAATTAATTTGAAATCGGATAAAGATATATATGGGAGCTACATCCAAATCTGAACCGATCTCGATAAAATTTGGCAACGATATTTCTGAGCTGTATTTGATATATTTCCCCAAATATTGTTGTTGCAGAGTGCATATTACGGCTGCGGAGGACAAAAATAACAAAAATAAATGGGATGAACAATTTATATGGGAGTTATAGCTATATCTGAACCGATTTCGATCAAATTTGACATACTTATTTGTATGTGCAAAATTCCATACTATTCGGGCTGATATTACACGTTTGGTGCACACTGACAGACAGACAGACATACGGACGGACATGCATAAATCGATTCAGAATGTGATTCTATGCAGATCATCAAAAGGAATTATGGGTCTATCTCGTTTCCTTTTGCTGTTACAAACAAATGCACAAAGACATAATACCCTGACCACCTTGTGGTGTAGGGTATAATGAAATAATTCGTATTTCATATGGAATAAAAATATTTGCAAATAAAATTCTCGAACTCCAATTGGAAGAAAAAGAAATATTTCAGGTGTAATTCGAAGCATTGTATTTTTAATTCGTAATATTTCATTCGTTATTATAGGATTTAATTTGTTATATTTATAAATCGAAACACTCCATTTGAATTTCGAATTCCTCCATTTAGAATTTGAGAAACCAATGACAAAAATATTTTTGTTTCGACATTAGAATGGAAACATTCGCAATACAAGTTAAATAATTCGAATTTTAAATGTAATGTAAAACATTACAAAATATATTCCCTATTTTCTATTGACAAGTTACGAGTTTCTAATGGAATTCTCAAGTAACTATTAAAATGTTACTGGTTACAAATATAAATATTGATTTACAAAAAAAGCGTCAAATTAATCTGAAAAATTGTAACCCTTTTTCAATTACATCCTAAAAAGTTGTAGTAGGTGTTGCTACACACTATTGCGAATCTGGGAAAATTGAATTCAATCAATTTATTCGTATACATATATCATTTACTCTATCTATTCTACACTTCCGAATCTTCTAGAATATTGATAGTTGCCACAACTTCTTGTCCATGTCTGTGTGGTGGGAAAATTGAGTAATTTAATATTGCATCATAGTCAATTGAATAAGCTGGCCGTCAAAGTTAATTAATTTATGAAATCTGAAACCTTTTTTATCACATTTGGTCACTGCGTGTTCCATAGTACGAAGAATTATTTTTTTTTGTCAATATCTACAAACATCTAATTATACCGTTTCAGGCAAAAATATTTAAGTAATTCTTTCATTATATATTACATTTATGTATTTATTTACGTCAAGCTATGTTTTTTTTTCAGTTTGTTTATGTTTGATTCGTACTCATCGAACGTGTACAGCATTATGACCTCAATGAGTATATCTCTGCTTAAATAAAAATTTGGCAATACATCTAGATCTCAAAGGAGGAGGATGAGATGAAAAAAATAGAACCAACTTAAGACTGGTGTCATTTCTAAGCTATTCATCCAACAGCTGTTAAAATTACTCCAGTGACAGCTCATTATATTGTTTACAAGTGTACAAAAGCATTTTGGTGAGAATGTTCCAAAAAAAAAAAGAAATTATTCGTAATGGAATTCAAGCATGATAATGTGATTTGTATATTATATTTGGCTTGAAAACCTAAAGTGGCCATCGTTAGAGCACTCCTGAAATTTAAATGTGAATAAATCTTTTGTGTCTCGTACGATCGCTCGTTACCGTGATACTGGTAGCGTAGCACGACGTCAAGGAAGTGGACGGAAGAAACCAGCAACATCAGCAGAAATTATTCGAAAAGTAAAGAAGCGACTTGATCGAAATCCGCGTCGCAGTGACCGAAAAATGGCTCGTGATCTGAACATATCGCAATATTCCATTGAACCATTGAAATTCCAAAAATTGCAAGAATTTACGCCGCAACATAAAGGAAATAGACTCAAAAGAGCTAAAAAGTTTCTTCGCTTGGCCAAATATGATAAAACTGCTGAATTTGGTATTCTCCGATGAGAAAACATTCGTTGACCAGCAGTTTATAAACAAACAAAATGATGCTGTTTACTTGCCAAAGAGGTCAGCTGAAAATGTGCACATTCGGTTGGCCGCCAGAACTCAAGCGCCGGCCATGGTGATGGTGTGGGCCGCCATAACAGCCGATGGTCGCTCTCCACTCGTATAAATCGACCATGGCATCAGAATAAATGCCGAATATTATCGCGAAAATATTCTTGGGCACGCAAACATTTTGGCCGCAGACCTTGGACATTCCAACAGGAGTCAGCACCATCGCACTCAGCACACGCCACCCAAGAAGGTTACAAGTAGGTTTTTTTAGTACTTAGTACAAAATTCATAATTTGTGCAGTTTGACAACATTTTTTTTTAATCGAAACTTTATAAATCGCACTAAGTGTTCAAACTTTCTAGGCTTCATATATTATCTAATGATTTTCTTTTTCGGAAAGAAAAATAGGAAAATTTTTACCGTTGACACCTAAAACTCTTAAAAATATTTTATTTGAGATTTACGGAGGAGGATATTAGTAAAATCATTGCACACAATGGACTCACATCCAATTGTTCTATCCAAAACTATCTCAACGTCTCCATATGTTAAATCTAGAAACTCACGGTGACCCTAATATCAATAAAACCAATACCAAATTTGGTAAAACTTAATACACATATTCAAAACAAACTACATCTCTCCATCCTAGACACCAACAGTACGCATTTTGAAAATTATTTCCATATCTCCAAGATACCTTAATTTCAAGACTCACCACTTTAATTTCCGCCATTAGAAAATTTAGTACCGTTTAGTACAATCATAGTACACATTTCCAATACCACCTTCATATTTTAACCATAGCCTCTATGCCTTCAACTAATACCAAATTTAGTACTTTTCGTTCAATTATTGAACACATTTCCAAAATCAACTCCATTTCTCAATTCCAGATACCAATAGAGACTCCAAAGCAAATTTGTGGGACATATTTCCAAACCACCGCCGAATCCCAAAGACAGATATCACCAGTATGTTTTGGAATGTTATCTCTAACCCTTCACCCAATATCAAATATTCAGTACTTTCAGTACAAATATTTGAAACAACATCCATTTGTCCAGGCTACAAATGGACAGCGACCCTAATACCAAATTTCAGATTTCAAGTACTATTTGTTTACCAAATTTAGTACTAATTAGTTTTTGGTGCACTCCAAAACCAAATTTCAAGTTTTTAGCTCTATCCGTTCACATAATACCAAATGGTGCCATTCAATTTTTAAGTACATTTTAGAACTTTTAGTACGAATTTAAAAATACTCTGCCATATCATACGCCTACGTACCAAGACAGACTCTCGTGCAAAATTTCAAGAAGATGCCTGCAACCGTTTCTTTGATAGATGCTACTATTATTTTGTAAAGGTCTTTGTATAGATCCAATATCCAGTGCCTATATCTTTATTGAATTTGAAGCAACAAAAGAGAAAAGGCTGAGAGCTTGAAAATGAGTATACAATACAATTTCGATCACGTTCCGGCCGAACTTAGCTCCCTCCACCATGTGAAAGGAACTTGCAAAATGTTCAACTAAAATCCGTTGGGAAAAGGAAATTTGAAATGAGAAATGTGACACAAAATATCAAAATACCGAATATCGGAGATACAGTTACATGGAGCTACAGATAAATCTGCTAGTACGGTTATATAAGGGCAATGCTAAAATGGGGACCTATATTGACAATCTAAAATACATCTGAGTAAAATCAAATGTATTCTTCATTTCGTTCGGTAGCTTGAATGATGTTCACAGACGGGCGGACATGACTAAATCGACGATTTTTTGCCCAATAGCGAGAGAGTTATGCCAGTAGGTGCACATCGTACAGGCCCTAATATAACGGCTATTTTCGGTATTTTTAAAATGTTAACAGAATTTTTGGCAAATGTTATCTTTTTCGAAAATTTTCAAATTCGTTCCAAATGGTGGAGGTTATTTAAAAATCGGCCCGGCCGAACAACAAATATTCGTATATAAAATTTGTTTTGTGTGTATTAAATCAAAATAAATAAAAAAAGCTTCGCTACGTACCGGGTTCAGGTAGTGTCTCACATAAAGTAAAGGAAGAATACTATATCGACTATGTCGTAATATTTATATCATATTTATTTAGACCCGCTAGGAAATGGACAATATTGGTCCATTCCTTCGGAACCTACTCCATATGGGGATCAACAGTTTGAAGTCAATATATATATAAATAATCGAACATTGGCTGAGGGTGTACATCTGTCAGCAGAATCGACTGGTACTTTTTAACTAGTTTTATTAAGCAATTAATATTTACTTTATGAATCTTATTTAATATTTATATCAAATTTTCATTTCGATATCAGGTAGGAACGTCTTTAAAAATAAATTATATTACGTCTTGGAGATATTACATTTTATCTTCATTATTCTGCTGAACATTTTTACCCGTTCTGGACATATCAAAATCCTTCTTGAATTTCCTGCCAAAAATGCATTGCATTAAAATTTAACGATTGATTTGCTATGCCATATGTTATGAATTTAAGTTAAATTTTTTTTCCTGCATTTCTCAGAATAATATTTTTGCAACTTACCTTTTTGTATCGTCCCTGTCATCGGTATCGTCCTCCATGGCAGATAATTGATATGTTAAATCCAAAATGATGATAATTTTTATATTTTACTTATAGAGAAGAAATCCAAAGATGTTAATCCCAAATTTTGTTCACAATTTTTTAATTTATTTATTTTTTAATTTCGTTTTATTTTGAAGCGATGGGTATTTATTTTCAATTTATGTTATATTGACTTTGAAAAATATTTCCAAATCATGTGGCAGGATGCACATTGTGATTTTCTTGTTTTATATTCTTGTTTATATTTTTTTTAATACTGGTTTTATTGAATTATTTATGTATTCCAGCTATTTTTGATTTTAACATTTATCTCTGTAAAATACACACAGAATTTTCAAATATGTTTATTTGAGTTCGGCGACGGTAACGACAATCACAACAACGTCCGTATGCAACAAGTGGCGAATGATATCTGAAATCTATTGAATCCCTCGACGAATAACAATAGCGTTACAGGACCAAGTGAATTGGTGTGCATTTCCGTTTCCCGTGGCAACCAACCATTGCAAATTATGAAATATTCCCGCTTTGTGCGCACACTCACCACCCCCACCATGGTGTCAAATATACTGTGAAAGTATTGCCAAACAGTATTGGTTGTAACAACGCACAAATACATTGAAATATTAAATGCACATAGATATCTGTATACGCTAGTATATATGTACACGATATTATATAAATTATCCTCGAGTAAAATGCATATCAACCCTTAACTCTGATATGCAATATTTTCATAATATTTTCATAGAGGCATATATATTTCAGTCTATCTATCTATGTGTGTGTGTGGGCTATTGTGTATTTGCGTGTGTGTGTTGAATGTCTAGCTGTATGGCTATTGCATAAAGTACCAATTAAAATGTCATAATAGAGCGAACGGCATGTGTGTCTTGTATCCTTTTTTATCTTTCTTTGCCATTGTTTCCTTTGTATTTTCGGATACATACGCCCATTCAATTGAATTTGCAACAGCTGAAGGATTTCGCCATGAAATCAATGATATTGTCGAGTCTATACTTGTCAACAACATAACTGATATCTAAATATATATTTTTTTTTGGAGTAATCAATGTCATACTGAATTTTACACCTGATGTTTGACCCTAGATTTGAAAACAAAAAAAGTTTACGTTCTTACGTTCTATGGAGTATTTAATTTAAATTTAAAGCAGATTTAGTCGGAAAAATGTTTAAAAGTTTAAAATTCTAATCTGCTTAGAATACTTCTACATATAATGGCACCTCTTGAGAAACTAACCAGTAAAGAAAGTCTTAAAGTCGGGCGGGGCCGACTTTATGATACCCTACACCAAAAGGACTAAATATGCCGAAGTATTTGTATCTTTTAAATTCGGACTTGTATTGCTCATTTGGTGCACAATTAATTTGAAATTGGATAAAAATATATATGGGAGTTATATCCAAATCGGAACCGATCTCGACAAAATTTGGAAAAGATATTTCTGAGATGTATTTGATATATTTCCCTTAATATCGTTGTTACGGAGTGCATATTACGGCTGTGAGTAACAAATAAGACAAACCGGATGAACAGTATATATGGGAGCTATAGCTATATCTGAACCGATTTTCACCAAATTTGACATACTAGCTTCTAGACTCAATTCGGTCGTATGTGCCTAATTTCATCCAATTTTGGCAAATATTAGACGTTTGGTGCACAATAAAAGGTAAATCGGACGAAGTTATATATGGGAGCTATATCCAAATCTGAACCGATCTCGGTAAAATTTAGCAAATGTATTTCTGAGCTGTATTTGATATATTTTCCCAAATATTGTTGTTACAGAGTGTATATTACGGCTGCGGAGGACAAAAATAACAAATCGGAATGTGATTCTTTGCAGATCATCAAAAGGAACTATGGGTCTATCTCGTTTCCTTTTTCCTGTTACAAACAAATGCACAAAGACATAATATCCTGACCACCTTGTGGTGTAGGGTATAAAAAGGAAAATCGCGTCAGTATGAGTAATCAATGTTACCGAATTACCAAAAGAAAAGGAAACAAGTAATATAGTTTCAGTCGGTTTTGACGACAGAGTATACCCCCAGCCATGAGTTATGAATATTCAAACTGTTGATCCGAGAGGTTCCGAAGCAGTTGGCCAATATTGACCAATTCGTATCTGACCTAAGACTGATATAATTACAATGTGCCAGATTTGGACTTCTGACTATACATTATATAATATAGGGTAAGTGTGCCTAAGTTCGGCATGTCCCAGTAGTCGGCACTTTTTATTTTAAGCCCAAATAAATGAAACTTTTACAACTAAGTATATTTTGTTTACTTCAAATATATTGTCAGCTATCTTTGTGTACAATTTCGCTAAGAGAAGATGATTTATTCTAATAAAAATTAAATTTTTGTCTGTGAAGGTCCTCAACAATTCATATTCTTAAGAAAAGTACAATAAAGACGTCGAATCAGATTAACTAAACAAAAATATTATATTTTAGTGAATTAATTTACTATTATTATTAATTATTCTTACAAAAAATTTGGTTTGCCAACTGTTGGAACATGCCATACCGCCAATTGGCAAGTGGTACCGACTACAGGCAAAAACAATTGTTTTAATAAAACTACAAATTTATGAAATTTAATAACAAATTATTTAAACTTTATTTGTCATTGCAAAAACAATACAAAATTTCGAATCTGAATAAATTAACTTTGCAATAATTTAAAAGTTCCACTCATAATGGTGAGCGATTAAAAACGCGAAAATCCTAAAAGTGCCGACTACTGTGCAAATTTTTAGAAAATGTGAAAATATGCCTGATGTAAAAGATATAGCGGTCCGAAGTATTCCATTCTAATACTTTCTCTAATACAGATAAAAATATTGGTATGGGCAAAATTACAAGAAAATCGAACATTTATATCTAATTTTATGCGAAATCATAAATTCCGATAAATTACATATTCATATCAGATTTCTGGATAAGAGAAATATGTAGATACAAGAAGTTGTAAAGAATTGCAGATTTTTTTTGAAAGTCATGACAGATAAAAGTATTGGAAATTGTGACACTTTGTGGTGAGGTACTAGAAGGGGTTGCAGATATATAGCATCTTCACAACAGATCTTGCGTTAGCAAAAATATTTGGATGTGTGAAATTTTAAGATGCTTATTTAGCTTTCTTTCAGCGTTTTGTTTTTTTTCAAAATCTTGAAATCTTTGTGGAGAAGGTACCACAATAAATGGTACCATCTTTATAACAGATCTTGTATTGATGAAAATATTGAGATGTAACAAATCTGAATGGAATCGGACGTTATTTTCACGTTTTGTGACCTGGATAATCAAAATGTTGACTCTTTGTCGGGGAGGTGCCAGAAGGAGTGAACCGATGTGTAATTTAAAGAGAACCGGATGCCTATTTCGGATTTTATTATCGTTTTGTTTTTATCCAAAATTGTTGAACATTTGTGAGGGAGGTACCCGAAGGAATGCTCCGATCTTTAAAATCTTAATAATGGACTTTGTGTTGATATTGAGATGTGCCAAGTCTGAATGGAATCGGATATTAATTTCCGTGCTTTATGGGCTTCATGAATATTTAAAGTTTTGACCCTTTGTGGGGGAGGTACCAAAAGTAGTGGACTGACATATTCTATCTTAACACCAGACCTTGGATTAACAGAAATATTGTGATTCATTTAAAGTCAATCGGACTCTTACATCACATTTTGTAAGAGTTATAATTATTATTATTATTTGGAGGAGATACTGGTTGGAGTGGACCGATTATGTAAATTTATGCACCTGACCTAGCACTGATGCAAAAAAAAAATTTGTGAAGTTGGAGAAAAATCAGCAATATCCGCTCTCTTCCCAATGGGGTAAATTATTTGCTAAGAAAATGTTGACCTTTTATGGGGGAGGTTCCATAAGAAGTGGACCGATATTACCCTTCTCCGAACTTGATTTAAGTTAAATTCGGACTTGTATTGCCCATTTGGTGCACAATTAATTTGAAATCGGATGAAATTTGGCAAATATATTTCTGAGCTGTATTTGATATATTTCCTTAAATATCGTTGTTACGGGGTGCTGTGGGTAAATACAACAAATCGATTGAACAATATATATGGGAGCTATAGCTATATATGAACCGATCTTCACCAAATTTAGCTTCTAGACTCAATTCGGTCGTATGTGCCAAATTTCAACCCATTTGGACAAATATTAGACGTTTGGTGCACAATAAAAGGTAAATCGGACGTATTTATATATATGGGAGCTATATCAAAATCTGAACCGATCTCGATAAAATTTTGCAAATGTATTTCTGAGCTGTATTTGATATATTTCCCTAAATGTTGTTGTTACAGAGTGCATATTACGGCTGCGGAGGACAAAAATAACAAATCGGATGACCAATATATATGGGAGCTATAGCTATATCTGAACCGATTTCGATCAAATTTGGCTTACTTATTTCCAGGCCTAATTTGGTTGTATGTGCAAAATTCCATACTGTTCGGGCTGATATTCCACGTTTGGTGCACAATCAAAGGGAAATCGGACAAAGATATATATGGGAGCTATATCTAAATTTTGACCGATTATATCCAATTTCAATAGGGTTCGTCCTTGGGCCAAACAAATGATTTATGCAAAATTGCATCTGGATAGGGCAACAAATGCGAACTGTACTTTGTTTACAAAAATACATGGACAGACGAACGGAAATGCATAAATCGACTCAGAATGTGATTCTATGTAGATCATCAAAAGGAACTATGGGTCTATCTCGTTTCCTTTTGCCTGTTACAAACAAATGCACAAAGGCATAATACCCTGACCACCTTATGGTGTAGGGTATAAAAAATGATTCCATTCCTTTTTTATTCAAATGACAAACTTCAAGAGATTACTTTTTCACCTCAAAAACATGTAATTGGCCATGGTGTAGGGCATAAAAATAGATTATTTCGAAAAGGATCCGATCCTCTCCGCTAAGAAATTGTAAATTGTACACGCATTTCGAAATTTGAAATTGCAGAGTAGAACTTTGGTTTGGTGATGTATTGACCTAATAACCA